TTTAGAAGGCTGACTACTCACCATTCTCCTGCCCCACTACGGCCCTCTAACTTGAAGGTGAAATGGTCTCACGTGTGCATATTTCCTGCCTGACCTGGCATAGGACAGCATGGATTAGCAGTCAGGAACATGCAGAATTAGTATCTGAAGGCAGAAAGCAGGAAGCAAATTAAAGCAGCCCCATTCTCAAACATGGTAAGGCATATATGTTAGAATATTGCATTTTGGGACATTTGATAGTAATATACGACCTTTCCTCTGGTAATGGAAAGAGTTTAGGAGACAAAGTGTAAAGAAGGAAAATGGCGGTTTTGAATTCTCTACTATCTCAAGTGTCTCACATGACACAGTTGCTTATCGAAGACTATTGGGGTCCAGCCTCTAATACTCTTTCCCCAGGGTTTCAGAAGAGATGCTACCAGCGACAAGAAATAATCTGAGGGAATGAATCTAAGTACACCGAAATCATTAATTCATTCACTTTATTCTTCTAGGTTAAAATCTCTCTACACAGCTTCAATTCTGTTCTCATAATTAGCTCCTCTCTGTCCCTTCCTCTCTTGTCCTGTCATTGTTCGAAGTTCCTTCCATCTTCGTTCTCCACCATTGACCTCCCCTCCTCTTTCTCCAGTCCAGTTTAAATCCACATGCAATGTATAATTCTCTGGCCCCTCCACTTTCTGCTTGGGTGGAAGAAGTCTGCTCAGTAGCTAGGAAGCCTTATAAGCTAGGAAGTCATAGCTTAATGCACCTGGTATGTGATAGCCCATTTGTTCTGAGTGAATTAAAGGAGGGTTAAGCTGAATTTACACAAGAAGAAAAGGTTTGTGCCTAACATCTGCCTGGCCTTGGCCTTGGTCTCCATATGGATATTTACCTTAATTCAGGAGACTAGCAGGTGGTCTGGAATGCTTGTCTATCTGCATTTTGTCCTTGGATGTTGAGAGGTATCTCAAATAAAATACACTGTTAAAAGTTCTTAGAAGAAGAATTAATTGGGAAAGCTACCATAGCATAAAAGAAAATAATTGTAGGAACTGGCTAATATGTATTTAAAAGCTAATATTGTTGTACCCATTTCTCGAAAGTCCCAGAGACCACCAAGTAGCTGGTTTCTGATGCAAGCACATAAGGGTCCTTTTATTCGGTTTCATCTTTGGCCACACCATGGCAGATGGAAGAAAATGTGGCAGCAGCCACTAGCCCAGGTGTAGAGAGTTTTTATAGGGAAAAACCACAATCTGGGAATTGGCAACTTGGGATTGGGCAGAAGAGATATCGGGCAAGGTGATTTTTTTTAAACTATAGGTCTAGACTTTGGGTGCAAAACCACATTTGAAACCATTGGGTTAGACTTTTGGCGGGGAACCACAACCCACTGAACAGGATTATCTGGACTGCTCAGCAGGATTATCTAGATATCGTCAAGGGCTATAAACTGCAGACAGGATATCAGATATGGGACAGAAAAGTAATATATGCAGTTATATAAAGAAATAGTTTTAAAAAATAAAGTCTTTAAAGAGAAAGTAAAAGTAATATAAAAATTACTCATGCAAAGGTGGATATCACACAAAGAATCTGGATTGTGTTGTCTTTGGGATTTTTAACTGCAGAAAGACATTTGATTGTAAAGACTGCTCAGTTAAACCAATATGTATACTTTAAAGGTACCATGACTTCAAAATTTGGCTGTAAGGATATGTTGCTTTGGAAAGGAGGCCACAGAAAGCAAGAGACTATGGATTTGTTCCAGATTAAGATACATCAGGTTTTACCAGCCAAAAACCCCCTGAAAGGTCTCTGATGACACCATGGCCCAGATGATCCAATATCCAGAACGATTTCAAGGCAACTGGCTCAGACAATACACCCTTATGTATTACTCTATAATCCTAAAATTTTCTTTATGTCTCCATAAGAATACAGCACCCTCATCCTGCAGGAAGTAGTAAGAGAAGCTACGCCCAAATTCCCAAATAAAGCAAGCTGGGTTTGGAGATGGAATTGGCTCACTCCTTCTCTAAACCCAAGCATATTGCTAAAAGAGAAGGCTGAGAGAGTCTTCTGATATGGGGCAGCCTTCTGGTGTGAGACAGAGAAAAACCAATGTTTTTATTTAAAGCAGGGTGATTATAAATGCAATCTCTTTCTATAGAAGAAAAGGGGACAGTATAGATGTGGTAGGATGAAAGGGTAGATTAATGAACCTACTTTTAGAGAACATCAACTTATTTAGAAATATTTTACATTTTAGTTTATTGATACAAGTTTAAACTTAATTTTATTATACTGTATATATATTTCTACTCTTGTTTGAGGTATTATGTTTATATAACTCATTTAGATTGTAATAGATAATTAAAAATACAGATTAATAATTAGTCTTCTATGATAGTCAAACTTGTAGCCATGTTAAGTTTTCTAGGTATACATAGATATAATTCATTTAGGTAGGTAATCTTCAAACACTTCAAAGACCCACAGAACATGACATTTAAAATGTTTTAAAAAATTTAGACTTTCTGGACAGTGAGACATGTCTGGTCCTGGCAGCACTGATTTACTTCAGAGAGGAAGATGGGAACCGAAGACATTCTATATGGAGTTTATCTTCTTCTTGGCAAAAATAGCCATTTGGGCAACAAACTGTTTTTTTCTGGACTGCTTGATTGATTGTACTGGACCCAGACATTCTACAGGACATAGAGAAGTGACTGAGAGACTCTAGGCCTGTGGGCTGAAGACAGCTGTCCCAACTTTACAGAAGAACTTTGGATGACTGTCCAGGCTGCCAGCTGTCTCTGTCCAATCTCTCAAGACTCCTGAAAGTTGCATTCATCCTTCTCCCATTTCTCAGGTAATATTGTATCCTTCTAAGGTCTTCAATATAGTTGAAGACTAGATAGTTATAATTTCCTTAGTTATGATAAAAGATAAGTTAGATATAAAACCTTAGACTCATAAATATAGGCTAGATAGGATATCTTCTTTAATTTTGCCAAGTACAAATAGACTAGATACTATAAATAGACTAGATATTATAACTGTAATTCTTGCTTGATAATTGTTCTGTTATATGTAATTTACTATGTTAAAGTTAAAACCTTCCTTTTTGAAAAAAAGAAAAGGGGAAGTGCTGTGGATATCTGTATGCTATGAATGTGTTGCTCTGATTGATTAATAAATAAAGTGCTGATTGGTCAGTATCCAGGCAGAAAGTATAGGTGGGACAAAGAGAGAGGAGAATTCTGGGAACAGGAGGGTTGAGTCAGGAGATGCTGCCAGCCATGAGAAGTAAGATGTAAAGTACTGGTAAGCCACAAGCCACGTGACAACTTACAGATGAATAGAAATGGACTAAGTTAAGATATAATAACTAGAGAAACCCTGTCTCGAAAAACAAACAAACAAACAAAAAAAGATATAATAACTAGATAGCAAGAAGCCTGAGCCATTAGGCCAAATAGTTTAAATAATATAAGGGTCTGTGTGTTTATTTGGGTCCGAGTGGCTGTGGGCCCGGGTGGGACTGGAGATAACTCCAGCTACAGGATGTCTGCAGGAGGATACTACTCTGTGTCTGTTTGAGTTGTCATTACACATTCCTGAGGTCCTTCCTGGAACTGAGTACAGCAGGTGGTCTGAGATGGTGGCTCTTTCCCTAAGGTAGAGCCTCTAAAGTCAAGTCTAGGCCTTCACAGTATCACCAAGACTCTTTGAGGCTTGGCTTTATCCTCTGGAAGAGCCCTGCTTCTTCCAGGTATTAGCTTTTGCTATAGTCAGCTGAATTCCTGCTTCATATTTCTGTGGTCTGCAGTAGTTGCTCCCACATAGCTTTAAGGATACCATCCACAGATTTGCTTTTCAGCAGTGGCTCATGTTCTGAATCTATTCTCAAGGTTACATGCTTAGGATGAACATCCTTTGGCTATGGCCTTATACAGCCACCATTAGATGTATATTAGCTAGCTAGCTTATTAGAAAAATTGGCATGAATATAATATTCATACTTTAGTAACAGAAGCCTTTTAGATTAGGATTAATTCCTTAGCCTCAAGGGAATTCTGACTATAATCAAATAGTGGACATTTTAGGTGGTGCCAGGCTAACTGAACCTGAGCTTGCTCTGTCTTGTGCATACTAGGCTGACCTTGGACTCACTATGTAGCTGCAATTGGCCTTGAATTCCTCATCTTCCTGCCTCAGCCTCCAAATGCTTGGATCTGCCCTTTCCTTTGTATCACCCAGCAATGTTCCCCATCCCCCGTGTGGAGCTGGCAGGCTTTATAGTGTTATGGAGGATGTTACATGTAAATCAAAATGATCTTTGATTTCTCACTTTTTTCTATAGAAAAAAATTACTAGGAAATTCAGATAATCATCATAAAAGTCTAAATGAAAGCCTCAGAGACAAATGTAGATTCATTATGAGGAAAGGATGAGAATTCGAAAAAAAAATCTTTAAACAAAAATCACAAAGGCTGAATGTTTATTTCATAATGGTATGATGAGGAAGACCCAGATTCCTACATTGTTTCTCCTCTATTATTATGGGTCTTTTGTGTGCTCGACAATGAATTCTCTTTTTCATGCCTCTCCTGTCCTGTTCCTTTCTTTTCTCCATTACTTATCTTTGTTTCTACTCAATCCAAAGAGTAAAACTTAGGTTCTGATTGTTTAACTTTTTTCTTTTTTAGATTGAGGGTACCAGTCTCCTTGATAGAGTGGAAAACATTTAGTACGTTTCAGTCAGTCACCTTTATGCTGTTATTTTGTTACATTGTATTTAGACTCATTCCTAAAAACTAATGTGGTATATGTCTCAGCAAGAGCAGGTCATGCAACAAGTGCTGATACTCTTGGTTTGAGTGAAAGAGAAAAGAAGAAAACATTAGAGATCTTTTATGATGCATGTGTGGGGTAGATTTGATATATGACTTACAGGCAAGGCAACACTTCTTTGGAACTTTTGTGTTTAAGAAAGTAGAGTGGGCGCAGGCGCTTCCGCAAAGATGAGCGCTGGGCTGGCGGCTTGGTGGGAGGCTGCGGTGCGGGCTTGGCCGGCCGAGGAGCTGTCGAGTCCCGGCCCTCTGGCAGCGGCTGTGGCCGGCGTGGCCCTGGCAGGAGCGGTGTGGCATCACGGCCGCGTGCAAGCACCCACGCGCGAAGGCAGCCTTAAGGTGCTGGCGCAGAAAAATGACTTGGGACCAATAGAGAAACTTTCTCTATGTAAACAGCGGTTCATGTAGTTTCGTCACTGGAGCATGAAGGAGAATATTACATGACACCCCGAGACTTCCTCTTCTCAGTAATGTTTGAGCAAGTGGAGCGTGAAACACTAGTCAAGAAGCTGGCAAGAAAGGATATCGAGGATGTGCTATCAGGAATCCAAACAGCACGCTGTGGATCAACTTTTTTTAGAGACCTGGGTGATAAGGAGGTAATTTCATACACCGAGTATCTTTTCTTATTACAATCCTCACAAAACCTCACACTGGGTTCCTTGTTGCTTTTAAAATGCTGGATGCAGATGGCAATGAGATGATTGAAAGAAAGGAGTTTGTCAAGCTGCAGAAGATCATAAGTAAACAAGATGACTTCAAGACAGTGAAGACTAAGGAGACAGAATACCAGGAACCAACAGTGAAAGAGCCTGGAGTTAACACAACCCTTCAAGTGGGTTTCTTTGGGAAAAGAGGAGAAAAAAAAACTTCATTATAAAGAATTTCGAAGATTTATGGAAAATTTACAAACAGAAGTTCAAGAAATGGAATTCCTTCAGTTTTCTAAGGGTCTGAATTTCATGAGAAAGGAAGACTTTGCAGACTGGCTCCTTTTCTTCACTAACACTGAAAACAAAGACATCTACTGGAAAAACGTGAGAGAAAAGTTGTCGGTTGGAGAGAGCATTAGTTTGGATGAGTTCAAGTCATTTTGCCATTTTACAACGCATTTGGAAGACTTTGCTCTCGCCATGCAAATATTTAGCTTAGCTCATCGCCCTGTGAGACTGGCGGAGTTTAAGAGGGCTGTGAAAGTAGCAACTGGACAAGAACTCTCAAACAATATTCTGGACACTGTCTTCAAGGTCTTTGACTTGGACGGTGATGAGTGCCTAAGCCACGGGGAGTTTCTTGGAGTATTGAAAAACAGGATGCACCGAGGTTTATGGGTGCCGCAGCAGCAGAGTGTGCAAGAATACTGGAAATGCGTGAAGAAGGAAAGCATCAAGGGCGTCAAGGAAGCCTGGAAACAAGCTGGAAAGGGCCACTTTTAAGGAAGAGATAGGTAGCAATTACATCGTTTTGAGGTGCCAGAATTTGAGACATTTTCTCAAAGAATGAACTGTTTTTCTCTAAGTCTTCATTGAGTTGCTTTGTAATGTAAAGATGTCATGTACTCATTTTCTGGTTCAGGAAATTGGGAGGGCGGGGGAATAAGTGTGTGCCACAGTGTGCATGTGGAAGCCAGAGGCCAGCCTGCGAGAGCCAGTTCTCTCCTCCTACCATGGGAGTCCCGGAGACTGAGCTTTGGTGTCAAGTGCCCTCACCAGATAAGCCATCTCCCCAGCTCTGACTCAGTCAGTTCCTGGTAAAAAGAACAAAGTGTTCCTTTACAAACACACACTGCTTTGTCAGAGGCCCGTATGCAGAGTGATGCTTTGGTATGCTGGAGGTCTAGGTATCACTTAGCTCTTGGACATGAGGATGTGAAATGCTCTCTAGAAGGCTAATCAAGTGCCCCAGGGAAAGGGACTTCATTCTCAAGACAGGGATGGATGCCAGAAGCTGTGGTTTCCCGGGGAGTAAATGCAGTCAAACACTTGCTCCAGTTTCTCTTTGCTGTGTCCTGTCCTACGTGACTGTTCCTTAGCAGTGCGTTCCCTGCCTTGAAAATAACATGTGACAGTGTCTTGTCTGGAAGCAGGATAAAGTGTTTACGTTGCTACAAGAAAAATATGCATTCTTTTAAATTTTCCATGCTTTTGAGATATAAATACACTACCCTCTCCCAAACACATAGGTTTGGGGGCTCAGCCTGCATAGGACACAGCTGAGTACCACACTTTCCTAAACACACACACACACACACACACACACACACACAAATTATGATAAGATCAAGGTCTTATAAGATATATTGGGTTGTGGGAAACATTCAAGATGGCACTATAAAATAGTAGGCAATAAAGTCAATAGTAGGCAAAAAAAATGAAACAATGTTAAGGGGAGATGTATGTACATGTTCATGTATGTGTGTACAGGTGGGCATGTATATGTATGTGGAAGCCCCTGCTCCTATAACCCCTCACCTGTGTTCCTGAAGTACAAGCCCAATAAACCCATTAGTTCACCAAGAAACAAAAAAGAAAGTAGTGTGTAGCATACACCCAAATTTACATAAAAACAAATTTTCAACAACTTAAAATCATCCTTTAGCATTAAAATATTTCTTAAATTATGTATCCCTATAAATCTTAATCAGATGGCTTAGTATTAATGAGCTATCCTGGTAAACATGGAAAACTGTTTTTGGTTTATTTACTTATTTCAGTTGTTAAAATAAATGTAATTGGAAACAGTTGCTTTCACAGCAGTTCTGACAATCTTTTACCTTCAGCTCCAAAACAGACCTGGTCTCTCAGGCTGTGATGTAGCCTGGGCAGAATATCTGCACACAGGACCCTGTATTCTATCACCAGCACTGCAGAAAAAGAAAATGGGCCTTAACTAACACAGCTCTCTCTCTCTCTCTCTCTCTCTCTCTCTCTCTCTCTCTCTCTCTCTCTCTCTCCTTTCATATATGTATGTGTGCTTTTTTTTTCAGATTGTAGTTATGTTAAGTTAGAAGAATTTTAAAAAAGAAAATAATTATTTTTCCAACACAGGTTTCTAGAAGGACATTTGCTGTTTCTTCCCTCATTATACATTAGTTAGCTTCATTTAGCTATTTAACACATATGACCAATTCCAGTATTCTGTGATATGATTAAAATGTGGTAGGAGAGAAATGAAATTCTTTTCTGTAATTTTAATCTTGTCTTCAAGCTATGCTTAAACTTTTCATTTTCAAAACAGCTTAATAATATTATTTGTTGTTAGCAAGAGATTCAGTTTTCCTAGACTTTAGTAACTTTTGTGAGCAAATAAACAGATTAATTTTAATTGTTCTAGAATTAAATTCTCTAACTCAAAATAAACTAATTAAATTTAAAAATCAAGAAGCTAGTTTTTAAAAAATATTGACTTAATATAAAGTAGAAAAACTATTTTAAATTTTTGTTAGTGGGTTTAAACAACAAAGAGTAGCTCATACATTCATGAGTAGGGGATTCAGGAACAGTTTAGCTGTGTGGTAAGGGTCTTTCCTGAGATGTAGTCAAAACATCCCATGATTGCTCAGAGACTGCAACTATTCCCTGAGACAGAGCCTGCCATCACCCGAATAGACTAAGATGTGAGTCTTTATCCTCATACCCAAACTCCCCAGCCCCCCAGGCTTTGGGGGCACAACCCTGTACCCATACACCACCACCCTTTGCAGTCCCAGTTTCAGGTCAGTTGGCAGGCAGACCTCCTGCAGACAGGTCAGACTACCACCATCTACTATGCACTAAGACTGCAGCTACTCCCTGAGACAGAGCCTACTAGCGCCAGTTGAACTAAGAGCCACTCTCTGAGACAGAGTCCATCAGCATCGACTAGACTAAGAGCTCCCACTGAATCAAGAGTATCAGTCAGACCAAGAGAGGCTCCCTCAGACACAGACACTGCTTGCGCCAAGTGGAGAAAGAGATGGGTAGACGCCAGTGCAAAAATACAGTCAACAACATAAAAACCGATATGGCTCCATCAGAACCTACATCAACAAGACCTGAACATCCCAACACAGAAGAAACAGAAGATATCTACCAAAAAATGACTTTAAGAAGATATTAGAGATCTTAAAGAGGAAATGAAAAATTCCCTTAAAGAAATTGAGGAAAAGTCAAACAAAAAATGGGAAGAAATCAGCAAACCCCTTGAAAGACAAGAGAAAGCAATTAAACAAGTGAGGGAAACAGTTCATGATTTCAAAACTGAAATGGAGACAATAAAGAAGACACAAACTGAGGTAATGCTGAAAGTAGAAAATCTGAGTAAATGACCAGGAACTACAGATGTAATTATAACCAACAGAATGCAAGAGATGGAAGAGTGGATCTCTGGCATTGAAGATACCGTAGAGGAAATAGATTCATCAGTCAAAGAAAACACTAAAGCCAACAAAGTCATGACCCAAAATGTTCAGGAAATTTGGGACACCATGAAAAGACCAAACCTAAGAATAATAGGGATAGAAGAAGGAGAAGAATACCAACTCAAAGGCACAGAAAATATATTCCACAAAATCATAGAAGAAAACTTTCCTAACCTAAAGAAGGAAATGCCTATAAAAATACAAGAAGGTTACAGAACACCAAATAGACTGGATAAAAAAAAAGTCCCCTTGCCACATAATAATCAAACCAATAAACATACAGAATAAAGAAAAATATTAAGAGTTGCAAAGGAAAAAGGCCAAGTAACATATAAAGGCAGACCCATAAGAATAACACCTGACTTCTCAATGGAGACTCTAAAAGCCAGAAGGTCCTGGACAGACGTTATACGAATACTAAGAGACCATGGATGCCAACCCAGACTATTATACCCAGCAAAACTTTCAATCAACATAGACGGAGTAAACAAAATATTCCATGATAAAACCAGATTTAAACAATATCTCTCCACAAATCCAGCACTACAGAAAGTACTTGAAGGGAAAATCCAAACTAAGGGAGTTAGATACACCCATGAAAACACAGGCAAAAGATAGTCCCATACCAAAAAATACCAAAGAAGGGAAACATACAACACTACCACCAAAAAATAACAGGAATTAACAATAACTGATCATTAATATCCATCAATTACAATGGTCTCAATTCACCTATAAAAAGACACAGGCTAACAGAATGGATATGAAACAAGATCCATCCATTTGCTGCATACAAGAAACACACCTCAACTTCAAAGACAGACACTACCTCAGAATAAAAGGCTGGGAAAAGACTTTCTAATCAAATGGATTTGAGAAGCAAGCTGGTGTAGCTATCCTAATATCTAATAAAATAGACTTCAAACTAAAATCAATCTAAAGAGATCGGGATGGACACTATATTTTTATGACAGGGAAAATCTGACAGGATGAAATCTGAATTCTGAATATTTATGCCCCAAATACAAGAGCATTGACATTTGTAAAAGAAACATTACTAAATCTTAAATCCCATATCAAATCCCGTACACTAGCAGTGGGAGACTTCAACACCCCACTCTCACCAATGGACAGGTCTGCCAGACAGAAACTTAACAGAGAAATAAGGGAACTAACAGACATTATGACTCAAATAGACTTAGCAGATATTTACAGAATATTCCACCCTAACACAAAAGAATATACCTCTTTTTAGCACCCCATGGAACTTTCTCCAAAATCGACCACATGCTTGGTCACAAAGCAAATCTCAACAGATAGAAAAAAATTGAAATAACCTCCTGTATCTTATCAGACCACCACGACCTAAAGTTAGATTTCAACAACAACAAAAAATTACAGAAAGCCTACAATCTTATGGAAACTGAATAATGCCCAATTGAATCATCAATGGGTCAAGGAAGAAATAAAGAAAGAAATTAAAGATTTCCTAGAATTCAATGAAAATGAATGTACAACATAACCAAACTTATGGGACACCATGAAAGCAGCTAAGAGGAAAATTCATAAAGAAGTTGGAAAAATCTCACACTAGTGACTTAACAGCACACCTGAAAGCTCTAGAACAAGAAGAAGCAAACTCACCCAGGAGAAACAGATGCCAGGAAATAATCAAATTGAGGGCTGAAATCAATAAAATAGAAACAAAGAGAACAATACGAAAAATCAATAAAACAAAGAGTTGGTTCTTTGAGAAAATCAACAAGATAGATAAGCCCTTATCCAAATTAACCAAAAAGCAGAGAGAGAAAGCATCCAAATTAACAAAATCAGAAAAGGAAAGGGAGACATAAAATAGACAATGAGGAAATCCAGAGAATCATCAGGTCAAACTTAAAAAACCTGTACTCCACAAAATTGGAAAATCTGAAATAAATGGACAATTTTCTGGATAGGTACCACATACCAAAGTTAAATCAAGACCAGATAAACTATTTAAATAGACCAATAACCCCTAAGGAAATAGAAATGGTCATTAAAAGTCTCCCAAACAAACAAACAAACAAACAAAAAAAAGCCCAGGACCAGATGGTTTCAGCACAAAATTATACCAGATTTTCAAAGAAGAGCTAATACCAATACTCTTCAAATTGTTC